CTCTTTTGGTGGTTTAAGCAGTAGGAGGAAAGTGGGGTGATCCAGGCTTCATGCATTTTTTTTTATTATTACATAAATATCTTCAAAGGTGAATGACTTATCAATACATTACAACTACCATTTTGTCGACCTAAATTTGGGTTGGGAAGAATAAACATCAACTCAAATACAGCAATTAAACTAGATTCATTGCTAGAATAATACTTTGTTTTCTTTTAGAAAAACAAATTACACTTGGTTGCTGAAATATGCATCTGATTTGCATAAACGGTAATATTAAAAAAGCCACCTCCATTCGTGCTAAGTCTTAAATATTTTTTAACTTTAATGCCTTTTGTTATTCAACTTACTTTTAAGTGCCTTGAGCAGATATTGAAGACATACTAAATTTTATCATCTTGAACCACCAGGAGGAGTTGGGGTCTTGGATTTGTGAAGTTTTGGGAAACTCAACCTGGACTGGTTCTCTTTAACGGACTTGCACTGCCTCTTCAGATGAGACTGTGGAAGTGGAAAGAGGGCTGGGTAGACATGTCTGACTGGTCACAGGGGGACCGACCGAGCAGTCGGTTGGTCGGTTTGGTGAGGGAGGCGTGGAGCTGTCGGAGCTTCGCTGGGGTCGGCTGGGGGACCTGCAGTTTACTCACGGACAGGGCAGAGCTTCCATCTAGTTAGCGCCTCAAAGGTGACTCTCTTTCGGCCTTCAGAGAGTTGAACCAAGTCGTTCTAACAGGAACAAACTTGATTACTTGTTTTGCCTTCATTTCCTCGCAATGGCACATCTGAATATGAGCCTTGCAGTCCAGTCGAGCGGAAATATCTCACACAACTGTTAGTCTTGTATTGGAATTCTGTCAATGACTGCCGGTAGGGGGACAACACAGAGCTCTGGGGTGCTCTACCTTGGACGTCATGAAAGATCGGGGGGATGGCTTGGGACCACTGGGATGAGATGTCCTGCTCCTGTGTGGGAGTATTTTCACTTTTAGATGATTTTTATCAAACAGTTCATCTACTTTGTTTCCCTTCGCTCTTTAGCACTGTAGTTGAGGGCCGGCGTTAGGGGATACGGACAGTGATTGATGTAAATTTTGCCATAAACATATCACTGGCATTTTGTGATGAATATCCTCACAAACCAATATACTGTTACTTGATTTCAGGAATATTACGTTTTACATGCAATTGCTGGCTTGTGAGTTTTTCTTCCATTATCACTGCATTTATGGGTCCTTTAAACATTTTTTGCACTACATACAAACTGATAACGCTGTTTGTTTAGGTAATATATATAAGATTACTAATCACAATTCATGAAAAATTACTCAGCGTATACGCTTCTAATCCCAACATTACCGTGACATATGGATTCACAAACCACCCTTTCATTGGTGCAGCACATTCAGGACAAACGGAATGAGGGCTGAGGCCCACGATACAGCCCTGGGCGTCACCACAGATATTTGAATTATCCATTTGGACTAGATTCTGTGAGGCGGGACGAGGAGAGCAGTGGCATTTTTAGTGTATGTATGTTGTGCACATGCAGGCAACAGATGCCATGTATTTAAATCCCTTGTGCTTTTGGTAAAAATCATATAAATTCATAGGGCTTATTAATTTAACTGCTTGGTCAAATAATCATGTCAATTTTAAAGGAAGTTGTTTAAATTAAGTATTTACTGTTTGAACTGATCTGACTGATATAGACTCTCCACAGAGATTTCCCATTTTGCTCCGCACTTGCAGCTCATACTGTGAATTGCTGGAGATCAAATTGATGCAGAAATCCTGCTTCCCAGTACTGACTCTAGAAGTCTGTGGACAATAAGATGGAGTTGCAAAAGAGGGATAAATGAGTGGGAAATAAAACAAATATTGAAAAATATTATACATGGTGTATTTTCAAATTGCATACATCCCACTTCTTGTTATTGGTCCTGAAGCGAACTTCACTATCCACACAGTTTCTAAGAGTCTGGTTCCAGTAGAACCACAGGTTAGAGTTGGAGTCATTCTGGACAGTCAGGTTGGCTGGTGGATTTAACTTCACTGGAGACAACACGGACGACAATCAGTGACACAGAATTACAAAGTAATAGGGCAGATATGCCAATATATTTTTATATTTTTATGGTCTGTTTTTATGTCAGAACACTAGCATTGTTTTTTCTTTCCTGGAGAAAGATTATAGAGTTAAATTAAAGTTATGCAGCACCAGTAGGTGTAAAAAAGAAAAAAAAAAGACTCTCGATAAATAAAACCGTCTCTCCTTCAATTAGTTTATCATTTTGAATAGTACCTCCCAATGTTATGTTGCACCCCAGTAAATAATCATACCTTTATTTTTAAGATCATGCTTCGTATTAAAACTGTTGTTGCCATGTACCAGTTTGGTATAAAATGTATTGAACCGGTCTGTGGAGTCATAGTGCTGGTTACATCCAGTGTTTATGCCGTTCTCTGACATATAGGAGGTGCACTCTTTGGCTGTTTGGTAATGGAACCTGTGTAGAAAAAAATATTTAGTCATTCACAAACAAAACAATGTCAGTCAATCATTAACTAATCTCATATTAGCCTGAGGACAGGAATAACTAAACATATTACACTATAATAAGTTGTACTTTTACTTTGTGATGTTCTTCTCAGGGAATGTATTTATCAGACTATAATTTTATTTTAGTTATACAAGAGTTAATGTTCTTCGCTCAGTGTGAAGAACAAGAAACATTTATCAAGCAACTTGTGATGTCTCTCAAATCCTAAGTGATCACAGCATCAATCACATATGCTCTGAGCAGGAATGGCCAATCAGAGACAAGGATTTACCCTACACCTACCCCATGTTTATTGTTTAACAAATTAACAACAATCTAATAAATTCAGAATACACAAATAGGGTCATTAGGGTTTTATGGTTTGAGTTTGTTAGGGTTATGTCACAGATTACGAACCAGCCATAGAAGGTGTAATTGACCTCCGGAGTCCCCTGCTTATTCTAAGAAGACTGAACATATTTCAGATGCACCACCAAACAGTCCACATCTGTCAGAGACAAAAGAGAATAGTTTAACCCTGTGCACCACTTGGTACATTTTTTTGCATTTTTCAATTAAAAATACTATTTTGCCTGTATTACTGGTAACGAGACAACATTTTGCAAGGATCAAATTTTTTTATCAAATTTTAAATTTCATCCTTGGATCTAATAGTATAACTATAATACACTGTGTAAGTTCCACCTTTTACCCTTCAAACATTTTTTGCACCATTGACTCCCATTATAACATTTTTGATCCTACTCTAATTTTAGCAAAAAACAATATTTTACATATGATTACCTTTTCAATCTGGACTTTTGGCTTGAAATGATTATTTTTTTCAATTATCCATCATGACGTCATTTTTCACTATATGGCTGAGGGCTCCATTATATGCTGTTTCATTGAGGCCTTTTTCTGTTGCATTTCTGACTATTGCTTGGCAACAGAATACATGATTTCAACTAAAATGGTCTAGGTGTGTTGGTATTGATGTAAAAGTGTGATATGAATGTGTGTATTGAGAAATTTACGTGTGTGTGTGTGTGTGTGTGTGTGTATGTGTGTGCAGGGAAACAGAAAGGGATTCTTGCTTTTTTATGCCACAGACCACATCCTTTGAGCTCTTCATTAGTAAGAAAATGATGTAGATGTAGATGAAGAGAAGCTGTGGGCCTTTATTGGGTTGCTACCACCATGTCGCACCACAATGTCCTGGAAGAGGTTCCAGCAGATCAGCATGGCCCTCAGGTTCGACGACTGCCTGAGCAGACCAGTGCGTCAACGGAGGGACAAGATGGCTGGCAGGTAGGCCTTATACTGTATGTATGTATGTATGTATACTTGCTCTCCTCCCAAAAGAAAAATTAAAACTCACATATGATACGCCTCAAATGTCATGACTCCTGCGGTGTGATTGTGTGGTTTTGTTTTCTACCCTAGTGTGAGTGAGGTGTCTGTCTGCTTGTTCCCTTCCCCCCTTGCCCTCTCTCTGTCTCCACTCACCTGCTGGTCACCCACAATCAAGCACGCTTGCCTTCAATTAAGAATGCACCTCACCACTATAAGAAGCCTGACTGACATCCCTGCCGGAAAGTTGCACCACACACAGTATGTTGTGTGCCTTGCTTCAGCTCCTTAAACTTGTTAGCCAGTGTAGTCTTTTGATTGCCAGCCTACTTGCCACATTTTTTTTAACAGTTTCCTCTGCCACCAGATTCGCCTGTCTGCCAGCTCTCCACACCGGTTTACCTCTACCACCCTTACCCCTGGACTCTTACCCCGGACTTCAGCCAGCCTTCAGATCGCCCCTCAACACACCACAGAAATAAAGACTTTGTGTTCATTACTACCAGTCAGCTTTTGGGTTCAGCCTCAGAATCGTGACACCAAATTTGGATTTAAACAAGTAGGCAGAGTCTACTGTGAAATTTTGAAAACATATCAAAGCACCAAATGCCTACGCACTAATTAACAAACCCCATTGTCACAGGAGATAGCAACAACACAACAGTATAATATAACAATAACTGTATAACAGGCATAACATGGGCTGTTTTCAGATAGTTAACTTCAAAGTCCAAGATACCCGATCTTTCCACCAGCATGTTAATGAACTATGTGACAGAGAACATCAAACAAATTACAATGTTCACACAAAACTCACTGAGATGCCTCCTAAAGGGGAACCTGCTCTGCCTCCTCAGATGAGACTGTGAAGGTGAAAAAGGCTATAAAGGTTATGTTTATTGCTAACAATCAGGTCAGACCTGTCTGACCCTGCATTGTTAGCAATAAACATAACCCAATGTTTTTGTTTGCTATTATTAACCAGTTTGTAACTCCATCCCCTTCTGCTTTTCATGCCTCCCCTCCTGCTGACTGTGAAAAAGTATTTTTTCATTGGTAAGATCGATGGTCAAAGGTCCTATTTTACTGTCTGACTTTACTCCTGTCTCTCTACAGACCCTTTTTAAAACTGTCGATCATATGCGTCCCTCCTCCAGTCCCTGTGACACAGTTCCTACAACATTTCCAAAATCCATCCTCTCTGTCTTAGGTCCTAGCCTGCTTTCTATCATCAATTCCTCTCTCACATCAGGGTCCGTACCTGACCATTTTAAAATTGCCAGTGTGGGTGCCCGGTTAGCTCAGTCGGTAGAGCTGGCTACCCATATAAGGAGTTGCTGCAATGCCTGGGTTTGAATCAGACTTGTGGCCCTTTGCTGATGTCATCCCCTCTCTCTCTACCCCCCTTTCCTGTCTATCTTCAGCTGTCTCTGTCCAAATAAAGGCATGAAAAAGCCTAAACAATTAATTTTTAATTTTTTTTAAATTGCCGGTGTTCAGCCATTTCTTAAAAAACCCTCTCTTAATCCAAACCAGTTAGAAAGCTGTAGACCAATCTCCAAACTTCTGTTTTTACAAATCTTTGAAGAAATTGATGCGGACGAGCTCCTGAAGCTGGTAGAGGGTCAAAGAATTTTTGACAAATTTCAATGTGGTTTTCTCAAAAAGCATAGCACAAGACAACATTACTAAGAGTGTCTAATGACATTCCTTATGCATGCTGTACAAAGGTGAAAGCATCTCTTTTCTTCTCGATCTCATTGCTCCTGTGATACCATCGTCATGGATAGAATTACAGACACTGGTTGGCATTTGAGTACAGCTGAAACAGTTTTCTATCATAAAACTAATAGTATAACTTTGTGTCTGCAATTAATAATCATTCCTCCTCTGCTCCCCTGCTGTGTGGGTGGGTCTTCTTGGTTCCAATTCTGTTCTCCTGTACATGCTTCCATCTGGGGATTTGTTCACCTTCCAAGACGTGTCATACTACGTTATGTTGATGAATACACGATTTACTTCTCTGAGAAACCCAATAACGCTGAATCAACTTCCTCCCTCCATGAGTCTTCCACCAAAGACTGGATGTCTGGATGTTGGCTTCCTGTGAAATTCAGAATCAGCTATAAGATCTTACTGATTACATATAAGGCACTTCATGACCTTGCCCCCAGTTACATTTCAGATGTCCTTGTTCCTCATTCCACTCCCCGGCCTCTTCACTCCTTAAATCTAGGCCTTTTGTCCATTCCCGCTCCAACTGCAAAACTAAAGGTGACCGTGCCTTTGCTGTTTTAGCCCCAACATTGTGGAATAGTGTTCCCCAATCACTCAGATTCACTGAATCTGTGGACTGTTTTAAGCAGCTCCTCAAAACCCACCTATAGGCAAGCCTTTTTATAGATCTCCTTCTTGTTTGTTTTCTCATCTGTCGTCTCTCTTTTAATTTATCCTTTCAGTCTTGTTTTATCTTCCATATGTTTGTATTTATACCCATTTGTATTTATATTTTTATTTGTTTGTTTGTTAAGCACTTTGTAACTCTGTGTTAAAAAAAGTGCTATATAAATAAAGCTTTTCTTACTTACTCACTTACTTGTCCACAGGGACTGACACAGAGTAGTTGGTTTGGTTGGTGGTGAAAGAGAAGAAAAAGAGTCCCTTCTTTTGACAAGAATCAGGAGATAAAATGTACTTTGTGCGTGACAGAAGGGTGAGACAGATATGCGCTAAAAAAGTTGATATCTGTGGGTTTTGTTTCCTGTGAGAGGAAACTGTGTCTTTAGAAGGTATCGGATGCACAACACAGAGACAAATTGTTAAACCTTCTCTATTGAATTATTAAAAACATACTGAATACCTGTTTTTTAGAAAGCTGTTTTACATTCCCTACAATTTTGGGAATGACTAATCCTTCCAAGTTGTGCTGTGCTGAGATTTAAAGAAAGCTTATCAAAATCAAACACAACTCACATAAAATCATAACTGAATTGTAACATTTAGTTTGTAATATATCCCAGGACACAGCTTGCCTTTGATCTTTTGCCAACTAATATTGCAAATAATAATAAAAATAATAAAAATAATTTCTTACTCAACCCCCACGTCTGTGACAAACTTTTGTCTCGAAAATCAGCTCATCTCAGCTCATTTCTAGTGAATTGGACAGGGGTTTTTTGTGTGAATGTGTGATTACTGAGTTCTTATTGCTCTGTTTTTTACATAGAAAGTATGCAGATGTATTTTTGCTTATCTTGTCTCTGTGTGGCCACACTGAGTCATGGTCAAATTAAAATGATTCATACATGCTAAATAATACTTTTGGTGCAATACAGAGTTGAAACTACAATCAAATATTGCTATTGCATATAGTTAAAAAGACTCATGGTGCTGAAGTGGTTGAAAAGTCCTTAATATTTTTAACATTATTAGCTTTATTTTATTCAATTGCTTTTAAGTATCTTGAACAGATATATTCTCATGAGGCCAAACATCATTTATCAATTTTCTGATCCTTGCAGTCATGCAGGAGATGTGTCAGATGTGGATTGTGAAGTTTTGGGAAACTCAACCTTCACTGAGATGCCTCCTGAAAGGGAACCTGCTCGGCCTCCTCAGATGAGACTGGGAAGGTGGAAAAGGCACCGGGGCAGACAGGTCTGATTCTGCGGTGCCTCAATGGTGTGTGCATCTTGTGTGAACTTTCCCCTCATTTCTTGCATACTTGCCACATCAGGCCATAATTTATTGCATTTTATGACCAAAATTTAAATGGCAGACCAGAGTGAGTCAATGAAGTGATGCGAGTTACTGAAACAAAGTTATTAAACTATATTATTAATATAATAATATATATTATGTTATTATTATTGTGATGGTCCCTGTCTAGTGTTGATGTGCTGATGTGGTTGACCAGTTCTTGTTTTTCCTACGTGTCCTTGAAGGTACCATCAGCAGAGTACAGATTTGGAGCACCTGGTTCAGGCGCTCCTAAAAGGATAAAAACCCTGTCTCAACTCTGCTCTGGTCTCTCTCTCTCATTTGGCTGCATCCCCGCCAGCAGCAGCAGCAGCACATTCTCTTTGTTTGGTTTCTGCTTTGTTCTGAGGGATACAGGGGCAAACAATTACATTGTTGACTTTGTATTGTCTTTTTCAGGGGACACTTTCACCGGTGACGCGGTTCTTAGCCGGGGAATGGGTAAGGTAGCTGTGGGTGTGTGACCAGCGTTGCCTATTGAAGGCATACACCTTATTTTAGAGAATGGCTTGGCTGGGAGCAGAGTTTGGACCGACACTCCTTCCTCACCTGTAGTCACACTTTGTCCATCTGATTTGGTGTCCGAGAAGAATCCTGGTGAAATATTTGAGCGTGTTTTGCCTGCCTCAGAGATAAGTAATGTAGCGACTGGTTACTTTTTGCATAATAGGTTGCTGGTCAGAAAATGGGTTCCTGTGAGTGAGGATGGGGTATAAAGAGTGGTCCCAACAAAGTTTCGTTCCCTCGTCTTGAAAGTGGCACGTGACGAGTGTGGACATTTTAGTGTCCGGAAAACATACCTCAACATCCTGAAACATTTCTTTTGGCCTCGGATCAAAAGGGACGTGTCGGCATACATTAAAAAGTCAAGCCTGCACCACTGCAGCCTATCCTGACTGTGTGAACCGTTTAATCATCTCATTGTGGACTGCGTGGGTCCGTTGCCATGTGCCATGTCTGGTTGTAAATATCTGCTTACTGTGATGTGTCAGAGCACTAGGTATCTGGTTGCATACCCGTTGAAGTCAATTACGACCAAAGCCGTCGTGAAGGCATTATCTCAGTTCATTTCTATATTTGGCATTCCCAAAGTGATCCAGAGCGACCAGGGGTCAAATTTTTCGTCCCATGTT